AAAGAGCATTAATCCTAATAAATACTCATTAAGCTGATATATATCAAGTACTTTCAGTTTGAGAAATAAAGGTTTAGAATGTGCATGGAAATAAGATAAGGTACAGCATCTAACTACTCTCTTTTGTAATTTTAAAAGTTTATCTAACTGTGATGGATATGTAATTCCCCAAACAATATTTCCATAACTAAGATGAGGCAAAACTAATGTATTATATAGCAGAATAAGAATTTCTTTAGGTAAAATATAACGTAGTTTGCTAATGATACCAACACCTTTTGAAGTCTTATTAGTTACGGCAAGAATTTGGCTATTCCAAGATAAGTCTTCATCAATTACAATACCTAATTTTTTTTGTAGAAATGACTCGTTTTATATCAAGTTTGTTGATTTTAACTACCAGATCATGTGCATTGTTTCTGTTCCTTTTTAAATTATAGAAGTATATATATACAGTTTTTTCTACATTAATAGATAGCTTATTTAAATTGAACCATGTAGATACATTTTGTAGTTCAGTATTAAGCATAATTTGTAACTGTGTAATATCATTATGACTAATCAAAATGTTGGTATCATCAGCAAAAAGTACAAGTTTAAGAACAGATGAGCGATTGGAAAGATCATTAATATAGAGTAAAAAAAAGCAACGGACCCAGGATTGAACCCTGTGGTACACCACACACAATTTGTAAATTATTTGAAGTAACATTGTTGAAATATACCACTTGATTTCTATTTGTTAAATAATTCTCAAACCAAGTTAAAACAAGCCCGCGAAATCCATAATTTCTCAACTTATAAAGCATTATATTATGATCAATTGTGTCGAAAGCTTTGCTTAAATCTAAAAATATTCCGATAGTGTGACATTTTTTTGCAATACATGAAATCAAATAATTATGCAAATCCATCAATGCCATTTCAGTCGATCTATTTTTCCTAAAACCATATTGGCATGAATTCAATATTACATTATCACTAAGAAAACTATGAACACGTGTAAATACAATTTTTTCTAATACCTTTGAGAAAAAGGGTCATATAGAAATTGGTCTGTAATTCAATATATTGCGGTTATCCCCCTTTTTGTACACTGGGATTACCTTTGCAATTTTGAGATTTTTAGGAACTATTCCAGTTGATAGTGAAAGATTGAAGATATAAAGTAACGGTTTGGTTATGTAAAATATAACTTTCTTTACAACAATGGAACTTATGTTAGCAATACTTGTGCTTTTACTCTTCTTTATTCCGCTCACAATATTGATTAATTCGTTTTCAGTAACAGGTTTAAAATATAATGACTTTTTGCAGGGAGGTGGTAAAAAAGATTGATAAGATATGTCACTATCAACTGGAAGAGTACTTGACATAGATGGACCAATGTTGATAAAAAAATTTATTAAATATATCAGAAATATCTTTACTATCATATATGTCACGACCATCTACATTGAAGCTAGCAGGTATTTTATTTAAAGATTTACCTAGAATATCTCGAATAACATACCAAGTTTTTTTCATATTACCTTTATGTTTTTTAAATTCATTGAAATAATGTAATCTTTTAACTTCTTTTAGACATTTATTTACACTATTTCGACATTTTTTGTATCTCATCTTGTTATTGTTTGATGGACGTTTACAATATAATTTATACATTATGTTCTTTTTATTTACCATCTTTTTTTTGTCATCCAAGGTTTTTTACAAATTGTATGTTTTTTTAGAGAAATATTTTTTACTAAGAAGTTTTTCTCATATTTGGACAGAAATTGTTTCAGAAAGTGTTGATAAGCTATATCGGCATTTGAACAATTATACACATCTTCCCAGACTGTGTTATCTAGATCTTGCATGAAAAAATTTATGTTTTTTTTATTAATAATATATCTGTGAATATTATTATTATTTGTATTATGATGAAGGTTTTGGTTAGCCGTTATCTGAAATACTGGCAAATGGTCGGTCACATCAGTGTAAAATATACCCGATGAAATATTAGAAGATAAATTATTTGTAAAAATATTATCTATAAGAGTAGCGCTAGTTTCTGTTATACGTGTGGGTTTATCGATTAATGGTAAGAACGATGATGCATATAATACATTAAAAAATTCATTAACATACTGTTGACTATACATTAATAAATTCATATTGTAATCACCCATTATATACACCAGTTTATTTTCATTGCTTAAAATTTCAAAACAATTATCAAATGTTTCTATAAAATTCTTAATACTTGATTGGGGCTTTCTATATACAATACCTACAATAATATGTTTACCTTTTGGTACATGTATTTCTATAAAAAGTGACTCATAGTCATCAGAATCAGTTAGTATATGTTTTCTTATATCAAAATTTACTGTATTAGAAATTAAAAGTCCAACACCGCCTCCTCTCCCTACTCTCCTATCTGTATGAACAAATGAGTAACCATCAATACAAAAGGTACTCAGATTATCACTATTAATCCAAGTCTCGGAAAAACCATAGACTGTAAAGTTTCGAGATAGAGAATGTATAAACTCTGATAAAGAACTGAAGTTCCTGTTGAGACTGCGAGAATTGAAGTGCAATAGACTAAAACTATTTTCAAATGTTTGAAACACAGATTTAAATTCACATTCAGTATAATACTTGCATTCTATTAGGTTATTAAACATATCGTATGAAATATTGTATTAATTCTTGTCATATTTTTCATCAGAGTCATCATTTATTGCGCAAAAGACATTATTAAAATTGTTTACTTCATGTATTATATGATCTTTGTTCTCTTTATTTGTATTGAGTTCAATAAATTCATCATCTGGTAATTGTTGAAAAGGGAATGTATAGTATTTGCATAGGAAACACATCTGGCAGAGTGATCAATCAGTTGATGTACATATACCTATTGAATCATTGCAAGTAACGCAATGTCCAACTTGACATTGTTTACATATATTTAATTGGGTCTTCACTGAATTTGGACAGACACTACAAAACATTGGACAACAAAACAGGTTTAAAACGACTAAAACATATATCAATATCAAAGTACAAGGACGTTGAAGTTCTAGCAATGCACCACGCTGAATAGAAGCACTGGGTTACTCAGGCACTATAAAGTAGATGCTTAAGTCATTTCAAGTCACTTTCGTTGGTGATTAAAGTGCGGGTTCATAGAAAATCACAAATACGGCAAATAGCGTATTACTAGAAACTGGTAAGCTATAAGATGACTATTATGCAAGTTTTAGGTCAACTACATATCGGGTGGTTTATAAAAATACAAATAAAACAACCTCCATAGCATCTGGGATATGCGAGAGATTCGCCGGAAAAAAAAAGTTTTCATGCCGTCACAATATGAACCAACCCTGCCCAAGCAGACGACATCCCATAAAGAATGAACATAATTGCAATGCTTATATTTCTCAAATTATAATGAGTTTAGTGTATATAAATGTGATGGAATTTTACACCATTCAAAAAGGGATATGACCCCCATTCTGATAACTAAATTCTTTTGTTTGTAAATACACAGGATATGGGTTAATGAACGATCAAAGAAACCACACTTTCAAATTAAAAAACCTCCGGAATGATAGCTGGACGTCATTATTGTTCCCTCTTGAAACGCCGAACCTGCCGCGGTGTATGCAGCTGAAAATACAATGGCGTCTTATTTTGTTTACAAGCGACGGATTCCTTTTTTTTTTAATCCTTGCATTTTTTCATTTTCATTTTGCCTGAAGGTATTGAAGTAAGAGAAATAACTGAAGAAAAGATAACAAAACAGGCACTGAAATTGTGTGAGATGTCATGGGACATCGTCTGCTTGTGCACATCATGTTCAACATGTGACGTCATATCTCAGCAGCGACCGGGGAGCTTTTCAGGTGCTATGTCGGGGCTGTATCCAGGAAGCTGTAATGAATGGAGATCCCGTCCAAGAGGCCCCTTTGAAGTCATCCGTGGCACCGCGCGTATTTTGTTTCCCCTACCGTAATCTCCTTAATCCCCCTCCGAAACCCTACAGCTCCCTAGTGGCACTAAGTCCTCCCTTTCCACACACAGCCTAGCCCAGCGAACACGGCGGCTTTTGCTTTGCCGGCCCGTATCTGGGGTGAATAGTGATGATAACTTGACAACTTCTAGCCCTTAATCAATAAATGCGCAAACATATAACACAATTTCACTTAGTTCTTTAGGAAAATAAACCTTTTGACTACCTTCCTAGCAACGTACAAATTTCGGAAATTTTCGGGAAATGTCAATAATTAGATGAGAAAATCATGATGATGAAAACCTTTCATTCGCTCTAACTCATGATTTCCTTGGTCGATTTCGCTAGTTGAAATGGTCATGTCCTCAGTAGAGCTATCCTAGAACGGCAAAAGCATTTGATGACTAATAGAAAGTTGCATTGGTCATATGTTGTGAATTCTGTATTTTATATGTTATAGCTAAATACATCTTCACTGAACATGACTTAATTTGTCGGTGCCACGCATGGCTTCAAAGCTCGATGCTTGCATATTTTTGCAAAAGAGTGAATAGAGAACTTAGGGAAGCAGATGGCGTTGCGTAACATTTCGTACTATTTGGAATGCCAGAGAGGAACTGTGCATTGATATGGACAGCTATTGATGGCAATGATGGCTGGAGAGGGTTACATTTCTTTTGTTAAGCCAGGTTAATCTTGAGTATTTTTCCCTCGGAAAATTCTTTCGAGACGGTATCTCCATTCATTACAGCTTCCTGATAGGACCATGCATGGGCGTAAATCTGCAATTGATACCTATTGTTCAGGGGGGATGATCTATTCATTTAACCCCCCTGAACAATAGGTATTACGTAAGGATTTACGCCCATGTATAGGACAGACAAATGTTTTCCAATCCAACTTCATGCACAACAATATAGGATTATACGGTTACTGCCGAAACTGAATAAGTTCGATTTCTTCGAGTCGAAATACATCACTACCATATTTAAAAGCTTTAGGGCGCGGCAAAAGTACAGTGGTCCTCATCCGGAAAGAAACTACCAGTCACTGTCGGTATATAGGCGCATCCATGCATTATTGGGTATTCAAAGAATTATTGCGCACAATCTTTTAAAAGGATATACAAGTAGGGCGTTGAACAAACAGCAACCACTTTGAGACTAACATCCACAGTTGATTTAGAGGCCTTCAGAGTGACAAGAGATTGGGTAAGATTCAGACTCTCCTAGAACAATTACTTGTGATAAATTTGATAAAGGAATAGGTGAGTCGAGTTTGCACAGTACAATAATACTCCAGACGGTGGCGCTCATAGCAAATAGTCGAATTAGAAGAAGAAGAAGAAGAAGAAGAGAGCCCTCGATCGAGTTTTCATGAGCCATTCTGTCAAGTTAATTTTTATTTTCTTGTGTTCTATATCTTTTGTACCTCTATATGTGATCCTATGTATGTGAGCTTGACAAATCAAATCAAGAAGAAGAAGGAGAAGAATCCCCTTTTTTAGGGCGCCATTTCTACGCAAAAGTTCCGCCTATTATCTATCCCCCTATAATTATCATGGGATTTTATCAAACTTGTACTTATGACGGTTTCATAAAACGATGCAATGGATAGTAATAATTCATTCAATATTGATTAGCTAACATGTATTAATAATAATAATAATAATAATAATGATAATAATAATAGTGTATCTTTAGAGCTTTTATGTCTGTCAGAATTGGCACTCTTGGCGCTGCATAGCCTGTGGGCCGACACAGGCGCGGATCGAGGAATTTTGGAAGGGGGGGGGGGGAAATGAAAGACGGACAGAAGCGAGTTGCGCAAACAGGGGTGTCTGAGGGGGATGTGCCCCCTTAACTAAAGAAAATGTCAATTTAGAAACTCAATTCACGCAATTTGGTGAATAGTCTTGTTGTCAACATTTTCATTATAATTATTGGCTTTATTTTTTCTCTACAGTTGAAAAGAAAATGTCAATTTTGAAACTCAATTCTTGCGATTTGGTGTATAATTTTTTGGCAACATTGTCATTATAATGGCTGTCATGAACACCAGGGGCCCCTGTCCAAGGCGGACCCCTGGACCCCATTAGTACAGATATAAGTGGTCCCCCAGAAAAGCCCGAAGTTGTGTAAAAGTGTCCCTGGAAGAGAGTGTGAGCTTCCATTGCTCGAGACGGGCATCTGGAAGGTTCTAATTAGGGACTTTTAGATTCTGCACAACAAAAACGTGGACTGCCCTTTTAAGGCAATGTGACGTCCTTTTAAGGCACTGGCAGTGGCGTCACATTGCCTTAAAAGGGCAGTCCACGTTCTCCGTTGTGCAAATCTAAAAGTCCCTACGCTAAAACTCGAGAACGTGCTCCCGCCTGAATCCGCACCTGGGCCGACATAAATAAGCCAGTTCACGGTTGCAGTCTGAGCATGAGCAGACAAAGGTCATTGCAGAACAAATTTTGAAATACACGGAGACGAAATACTGAATGCGTGCTCATGAAAGTTATGTAATCATTATTAATTTATGCACAAGCAGTGCACTCCTTGATGAACAGGTGGAAGTATTCTTTGAATAGGGGAAACAAAGGCTATTTATATAGCACCTCCATTGCTGTAGGAGTGATTATTTCAAAATGTACAAAGTGGGACCTCTTCATGTTTTGAAGATCTATATTCGGGGTCATTGCAGTAATGTGCTAACCGTGAACTGGTCTATTATTATACGGATGAAAGGAAGACTCATCATGCGATTTATAAAACATGTAACAAATCTTCTCTTTCAAATAGTCAATAGAGACCTTCCAAATAAAGCCTAATGCAGTCAAGCCTGCTTTCATGACCACCTGGAGAGAAAGACCGGTGTATGTGATTGTTCATGTTATACTCATTTTCTGACTATATTTTCGGATCATTCATAAGTTTTAATGCTTATTATCAATATCATCATCTGTGTTTTTTAAAACTCAGATTATCGTATCGTTTCCTTTCATTATTTTTATTCAGACGTTCTGAGGACCCCTAGCCAGTGCTCCAAGCTATTTAAAACTATAGAGTATTTCTCGTGACTCTGCTCCGTTGGACCCATCACATTCATCCTACAATGGCAAAAGGTAAGTCCAATAAGGGAGTTTACAGATAGCACATGGTACAAATGACCCCAAATATCCACAAATCTTTTACACATGGAGAAGTTCCACTTTGAGCATCTTAGAATAATAGCTGCCAAAGTCCTAGATGTGCTTTATGAATACCTTTTGTTTGACCTTTTGAAAAGAATACTTCCACCTGCGTATCATTGAATGTACCGTTGGTGCATAAATGAATAATGTTACATAACTTTCATGAGCGCATATCCAGTATTCATATCTGTGGGTTTTACCATTTTGGTACAAATGACCTTTATCTGCCCATGCGCAGATTGTATCTGTTAACTCCCTTATTTGGCTGTGTCGTCTCCATGTTTTCATTTTAAGATTCCTAAATCATCATTCGTAAACGTCATCACGCAGATTACAATGAGTTATTTGTCAAATCTTTCGAGAAACACCCCCAATAATAATAATAATAATAATAACAATAATAATAACCGTAATAATGTTTATTTTGATGATAATAATAATAATTATTAAAAAAGATTAAAAATAATAATGCTAATAATATATTGTTTTTTAATAGTGATGAAAATGTATCCAAATATATAATTGTATCTCAATTGGTTGTTTTTTCTTGTTACCGGGTTGGATATACATTATATCTTGTACTCTCTAACGACGTTATATATGCAAGTAGCATTCTGACTATTGGAATACAATTATTCGTAACAGCTAAATAAACATTATTTCCACGAAATGAAGCCTGGAGTAATTGTCACCAGAGACAATGTCAGCTGATCCAAAAGTCTATGTTTATTTCTAAATTTGTGTGTGTTTTCCTTTTCTCTCTATGCTATGGTATAGCCAAGACGGTTTTGGAAAAGGAAATCTATGTCGTCATCAAAGTAAGAATCACTTGAACTTTAACCTTTCTAGACAATACTTTTGTTCTCCCCCCAAGAAAATATATATAAACATAAAAAACAAAAAATAAAATAGAAAAAACAATTATTAAAAAAAAAGTCTATCGCGCTCTCCCGAGGATCATGTATTTATTGTGTACCGAAATTGTTTCATTCAATGTAATTCATGAAAAAAGAATATATATTTCACTTTTAGCTCATATAGTCTACACCCACTTATACCCCGCTCACAAGCTATAGCTTCTAAAGGGGTTCTAAAACCATTCAGTTTATGATGTAATCAAGTTAGAATATGTTGATTGATGTACTATTACCAGTCTCTTTTTTATGTAACAGATTATATCATGCTTTGTGTGGTTTTGAATAAAATAAAATACATTACTTTAAAGCCCCTCTAAAGTGCTGAGATCCCCAAATTCGCTAAAAAATTGGATGGCAAAATTTCACTTAAATTGTGCAACGATGTAAAAGAGGATGTCGATTAACATTCAACTCTGTAAGGATTTTTAAAAAATGTGTTTGAAGGCGATGAAAGAATACAACACCTGTGTTTTGTGTTGTACGCAGAAAACCTAACAGTAAATTGTGCATTCTTTCATCTAAATTCGTCTTCAAACACATTTATTCTGAAAATCCTTCCAGTGTTAAACAACATTCTCTTTCACTTATATACAATTAAAGTGAATTTTTGACATCAACATTTTGGGCTCCCAACACTTTAAAGCGGCTTTAAGCTACTTGTAAATACAATTAACAACCATTATACATACCCCTTTAAAGTTGGGGTTTTTGTGTGTGTTTTTCGAAACTCAAGAATGAAATGTGGACTGGTTAAAGCCCAAGTCCACTCCAAAAATAACTTTCTTTCAATAGAAGCAGACAAATCAGAGTTACCAATCAAAAAAAGTTTGAGCAAAATCGGATAACTAATAAGAAAGTTATGAATTTTTAATGACATGAAAAACTTTGAAAATCACTAGACAAATTGGCAACTCACTCATGAGTATATGACGTAATGTCCTAACTATCCACTAATTATTGTCTTTATATTGATGATATCTTATTTCTTCACACCAGCATCCAAGTAAGATTAAAAGTAATATGTTTTTGTGGGATGCAATAATATAGAGTAATTTTTTACCAGTTAAATCACTTTGAAAATGTGAATTTAGATAAACTATTATATAAAAATCAAAATTTTGAATATACAATATTCAGAAAATAGTATAAATTCTTCAAAGTTCAAAAAAGATTTTGTGAAATGTCATGCACGCAATATGATACAAATCAAATGGAAATTAATGGGATTAACCTATATAAAGCAATATAGTGAGAACGTGACGTCACAAACTGATAACCATCTTGGCAATTTGCGTTGTGGTTCTCATTTGTTTCATAGTTTTACATACTTTTTCAAAAAATCATAACTTTCTTATTAGTTATCCGATTTTGCTTAAACCTTTTTGGATAGGTTTGTCTGCTTTTTCTGCTTTTATTGAAATTTTTTCGAGTGGACTTGTCCTTTAAATCAGGGCCTTTAGAGAATCCGTGCCCTCTAATAAAATATGATCCAAAGAAATTTAGTCGAATTTTGATATATCTCCTCATGCAGGCATATAAAGATGACGAAGATTACGCAGATATCGACGATTTGGACGAGAAACTGAACTCATACAAAGGTATGTTTTATTCTCCTCATATTGTGTGATTTCATATTAAAAAACAAAAAATTGTTTTTTCAATTAAGCAACATTACTTCTGTAAACCATAATATGTTTCAATAAAAAGAAAAATTACTTCTTGTTTTATATTGTTACTATTGATTTCCTATAGTGTAATTGAGCACGGGTTATCAGGGAACGGTAGCACTGTCACTTTGTCAGATATCATGGTCTTTAAAAGAGAGATACGAAAAGAATGAAAACAGATATCAAAAGTTAATAGATCTTCTGATACGAGTTATAAATGATATAATGATAAAGATGGTGATGATGATGACGGTGGTAATAAAAATGGTGATCGTAATTATGGTATAGTGATGGTTAATTTGATGATGATGATAATGATGATAATGCATGATGATGATGATGCATGATGATGATAATAATAGTGATGATATACCAGGAAGATCTGGTCTTTAATTTATCTTTCAGAACAGTTCATGGAATTCGATGAAGATTGCAGTGGAGATATCGGTGAGTAATGCAAGTATACTCGGCGGCGTATATTTTTTCCCCATATTCTCTGCCTCGACGCTAATATTCTTTTGCATGGATGTTTTTGCCACGGTCGACCCAGGTGTAGGAAATATTACGTGGTAGGATTTATTCCTGAATGCCCTGGGCGTACGTTACAGTTATCGGAACTAAAGCCGCGGACCCCCCCCCCCCCCCCATGTCCAACGTTATTTGGAAGCGCATCAAAACTTTGTAACATAAATTTTATACAAATAAAACACAGGTGTGAGTGCGTTATGGTCGATGTAGCCTATAATCTAGGTGGAGTGCCGAGCTTTTTTCTTTGCTGCTAGACTAACCCTAAGCAGAACGTCTGATACGGCGAGACTAAGAACCCTGAGTCGCGAAGCGGCTCACCGCCTATAATCACTGGTCTAGCTAATCAATATTCATATATATTCAAAATGGCGGATCTATGAATCATTCAACAGCCCTACCAAATAAGGTACACCTATGTTACGTTCGACCAATCAGATATAAGAAACCGCAACGAAAAAAGATTGCGCATAGACTCTTCTCCGTACGTGTTTCTGATTGGTTGAGTTCATTTCGTATTCATGAGGTTTTTTCGTACGAAAAACTGCCACGGATTCATGGTCGATAATAAAAAAAAAAACGACTAAAGCTAGACCAGTGATTATAGGCGGTGAGCCGCTTCGCGGCTCACGATTCGTAGTCTCGCCGTATCAGACGTTCTGCTTAAGGTTAGTCTAGCAGCAAAGAAAAAAGCTCGGCACTCCGCCTAGATTATAGGCTATGGTCGATGCAGCGCTAGAGGGTATTCACTACGGTGCAATAAAATTGACGAAGCGTAGCCGAGTGTATTTTGTGAATACCCGAATAGCGCTGCATCGCCATAACGTCACGAACGAAAACCTGTGTATTTTTTGTTTCATAAAATGGGTCGACAATCTTACTTAGTAAGGCGGTATTAAACACTGTAAACCTGCAACCTTCATAAGAAATAACGTGTGCACACAGTACAGACGATCGCGGCAGCAATATAAATGGCCTAGCTCGTAAACAAACGGTGCAATGCATGGTAAACATCCATTGATTTACACGCAGCGTGCATTATGCTTCTTTGTTGCGCACTTTGACAATGACAATTTGACAATGACAATGACAATTTATTTTCATGTCACCCACATTGGGGTATTGGAGAAGTTTACAATCAGTTTGAATTTGTTAATTTAACATCGTGAAATATACAATACAAATAGAATTAAAGGTAAAGACCGGTTATGGTCATGCGATTGCATGGTGAAAGAAACGTTGTGGAATCGATCAGAAAAGGTTGATCATCTAGCATCTAGCATCTGCAAGGTTCTGGAATCATCAAAATGATAAGAAATTTGGCCCATTCTTTGTAAAGTTACAAGCACTATAAACAGAAAGATGTATATGGGACTACCCTATATCTCTCACAGACCATGAGAGAAATAAATTTACCAAATATATGAATTAGTAGGCGGTTTCCCGGCAAATTTGTTATCATCATGTATTAGTCAAAACATATTCTTTCACATGATTGCATGGTAAAGAGAGCTTCCATTTCATTTTTTGAAATTGGGGCGTTTCCAATACTGGTCTTTACCTTTAATGTTAATCCATACAAAATAACACTTTCGACAATAGTGAGACAAATTATGAAGATAATGATAATAACAATATTGATGATGATAATAATAATAATCAAAAACAAAACGATAATATTAATTAAAACGATAATTAATGACGAAATTAATGGAAGCAATAATTTGAAAAGGAAATTACTGGCACCAGTAAATTGATATCTGAATTAATGAATTACTGAAAATATTCTTGATATCAATTTAATAAATTGATATAAGACAAAAAAGAGAAAAAATTAAGTTAATATTGAACTCATAACATGTTTTTTGCACATACTTAAAGATGAAGTTGAGTTCTGGTCATGCGATTGCATTGTGAAAGGAACGGTGTGAAATCGACCAGTAAAGGTTGATCATCTAGCATATAAGAATATGTGTGTATTGCAAGGTTCTGGAATCATCAAAATGATAAGAAATTTGGCCAAGTCTTAGTAAAGTTACAAACACTATACACAGAAAGATGTATATGGGACTACACGAACACGTGGCGTAAAAAACCTACCCCCGAGTTTTACGAGTTACATGACATATTTAGAATATAAAGGCATTTGAAGAGCCATGCTTTTCAGGGAACATGTCTTATCTGATGTTCTTCCACACTTGCATAATAAGAATGATAACGCTCACAAATTATTTTTCACCTCTTCCCAGAACTCAACCTTCTCTTTAAAGTGCGCGTATGTACACGTATGTGCGCGTATGGCTAAAATATTAATGCACGCATACGTGATCCATTTTGACGCTTCTCATTGGCTACATTCTAAAACCCATTTTATAATACGCGCAATTCAAGAATGGAGTACTATTATTGCACAAAACTATCATGTCTGATTTCTGTTCGCCACAGACCTGATGGAATTAAAAAGGATGATGGAAAAATTGGATCAAGCTAAAACACACCTTGAGCTGAAGAAAATGATTGCTGAGGTTGACCGTCGAAATAGTGGATCTATAAGCTTCAACGATTTCGTATTCATGATGCTGGGCAAAAAGTCAAGTATTCTGAAAATGTAAGTAGTCATGAAGACGCGCAGGAAACTGTCTGGCCCGAATTTACAAAGGAGGTTTAAATTTAACCTATGGTTTAAACCCTCATTTACATAACCCATGGTTTAAAATAAGCGCAAATTAAGCATACTTTGCCTTGCGCGCGTCTTATATTGGACCTCCGACTTGTGTCGCGCTTATTTTGCGCTTATTTTAAACCATGAGTTATGTAAATGAAGGTTTTAACCATGGGTTAAATTTAAACCTCCTTTGTAAATTCGGGCCTCTTTATTTAAATATAAGTAATATTGATGATGATGATGGTGATAATGATCATGATCATAATCATAAACATGATGAATCTTAATCCAAGTCTTTAAAAATTCAACAACCAATCAGATGATACTCCGGATAAATGTTAATCCCAGTCTTTAAAAATTAAACAACCAATCAAGATTAAAAAAATAATTAAAAAAATGATGAAAAAATTAATGATGATAATGAACAAAAGATATAAAGATAGGAAGAAAGGAGAGAGAAATTGGAAATTCAGAGAATAAGAAAAAGATGCCTCATCCCGGATTCCCCGCCCCCTCCATAATTGATTTTGTTAAATGGCATTTCATTCAGAGAGTAACATCAACGCTACGCTGCCCCTCAGCACAACTGTACAATGTACACGTTTATTTTTTATTTTTTTATTTAATTTGATTTTTTATATTAATTTTTCCTTCCCCTATTGATTTTGTTCGCTTTGCAGGATACTTATGTTTGAGGAGAAGAAGAAGGAGCGCGAGAAACCCACTGGTGAACCCCCGAAAAGGGACCTGTCATCACTGCCTTAAAGGGAAACCCGACCTTAAAGGAAACCGAAACCCAAAACAACAATCGTGTCTTTTCTGAAAGATACTTATATGTTTAATAAGATGACCTGAACAAATCTTAACCAAAACGTAACAGAAAGCAGTAAATCACAAAATTCTTATTATAAAATAAGCTAGTCTGAAAGAAAGCAGACTAGGTAAGAAAAGCAGACTAAATGGCTTTCACACTTCTTCCAACACACAAAATGAATAACATCTGAATTATTTCATAATATATAACTCAGGATGGTCTTGTTTAATAGAGAACTGTTCATAATATGCTACCTTCAATATACTGTGCTTAGTGCCCCAAAGGAGAAAGCGCTTAGGACATCGTAGGAAAATCCCTCAAAATTTATAATAAGGGAGATAACATATACAATCTGCGCATGGGCAGATAAAGGTCATTTGTACCAAAAAGGTAAAACCCACCAGAGATACATACTGGATATGCGCTCATGAAAGTGATGTAACATTATTCATTTATGCACCAACGGTACATTCTAAGGTACGCAGGTGGAAGTATTTTTTTCAAGAGGGCAAACAAAAGGTTTTCATGAAGCACATCTAGGACATTGGCAGTTATTATTCTAAGATGCTCAAAGTGGAACTTCTCCATGTGTAAAAGATCTGTGGATATTTGGGGTCATAACCATGTGCTATCTGTAAACTCCCTTATAGAGAGCTTTCCTTTGCCCTTTCAGTTGCCATTTTTTAACAGCGTAATCCAACAGAGTGACGAAAGTTTTGAACAAATCGATATATAAATCGGGAAGTACATGAATTAAATGTAGTTACTACTGTGATCGAATAAAATTTGATACTTACATATTAAATCAATTAAGTAATATAGAACTGAATTGAAACGTGATAAACTAATAGTGAATAAAAGGCGGTAAAACAATTGTGATGTGACGAAAATAAAAAGTGCAAATAACAGACTAAGAATAATTATGTTAGCTATCTGTACCTGAACGTCTGAAAGGGAGGTGCCCCTTTACACACTATCTCATTCATCTGCTATGAATAATAATAACATTTCAATAGTAAAAAATACACTTTGCACATATTATGTACGGCTAGGTCGAATAATCCATAATGCTTGTCCTACCTAGCAACAGCTAATTTATAAAGAGGGGAAACCCTAAACGAGGAACAGAGGAAAGGATAAGGATGCAATTACACTTTAATTGTTTTTCTTCTTCAATAATTAAATCAAGATATTGTTACTCATACATTGGCACTTTATATATGTATATATATATACATATCGTGTATAACTTTTCTGTATCTAAGATCATACCTGATAGAGTCATTTGTAAATTGTTTGCGGCATTGACGGCATAATCATCTATACTTGGAAAAGAAAATGTAACATTTTAGATGATTTTGAATAATGTTGTACTTGTACTGAAGTTCAGACTGTCAAGGCTATCGTAAGAATGATCACTGAACAAACGGGTATACAAGGTTCTGCTGTAGCAGGCCCGTAACTAGGATTCTACTGTGTGTGAGGGTGGGGGGTGCAGACATTACATTACATGGGTTGGGGAGGGTCTGGGAGGGATGGGAATTTATTTTGCATTTTTCTATCTGAAAATAAAGTTTTGGGTACATTATAAAACACCAAAACGGTTCCACTAATAACTGTTGTTAGTGTGCTAGCTATATAGCTGTGGCGTGCATGCCGCACTGATATTGTTGTGATGATGATGATGATGATGATGATGATGATGATGACGATAGCGATGATGATGAGGATGGTGATGAGAATAGTGATGATAATGATGATGATGATGATGATGTTGATGCTGATGATGATGATGATGTGGACGGCGATGATACGGTGAAGGCGAAGACAAAAGAGAAGAAGAGGTACGAGAAGAAGAAGCATCAAAAGACGAAGACAGATTAAGAAGAAGAAGAAGATGATGATGGTGATGATAAAGATGATGATGGTGATGATGATGATGATGATGGTGATGATGACGATAGTGATGATGATGAGGATGCTGATGAGAATAGTGATGATGATGGTAATGATGATGATGATGTTGATGCTGATGGTGATGATGATGTTGATGATGATCGATGTTGACGGCGATGATATGGTGAAGGCGAAGACAAAAGAGAAGAAGAAGTACCAGAAGAAGAAGCATCAAACGACGAAGACAGATTAAGAAGAAGACGATGATGATGGTGATGATGATGTTGGTGATGATCGATGTTGACGGCGATGATATGGTGAAGGCGAAGACAAAAGAGAAGAAGAGGTACAAGAAGAAGAAGCATCAAACGACGAGGACAGATTAAGAAGAAGAAGATGATGATTGTGGTGATGAAGGTGATGATGATGGCGACGGTGATGAAGATGATGATTATGATATTGTTATGATGATGAGTGTTTTATCTCCAGGGATCACAATATGTAATATTTCCTCTTCATTTTCTGCAAAATATGGGGACGGACAACAAATTGGAACCCGCAGTACACGCAGTCCTAATGTACTCCGCCTATAGACACAGTGACCGTCCCAGTGGTCGAGTGGATATGTCACCGGACTTTGGATCACAAGGTCCGCGGTTCGAGTCCCTTTGGCAAGACATTGATCTATATTTGCGACTCTCCACCCAGGTCAGGTGTTAAATGGGTACCCGGTAGGATGCGAAAGTTAATGTAATTGGATTAGCAAGTGGCGCTTGTAAAATGGCGACTGGCTGGAATGCTCCACAGGGAGTGGAAAAAGTGCATACGCCGTGTTGCGGGTAAGCATGAATCCGATGACTGGTGTAATAATATGTGCTGAACTTAGAAACAAAGTATTAGACGCATTATAAATGTGAGCTATTATTATTATTTTTATAGGCCTTTCAGTGGCAGACCCGGGGAAGGGGGGGGGGGGCACAGGGGATGTTTTTGTGTGCATGTAACTGAAATTGATACAGGTAATTGATATGGCGCCTTTTACTTGCAGTTAAAAATCAAAGAGCTGCACACCCTTCTTCACATCATTTAGGCGAATAACATATAGCACATGTTTTTAGGCCTATAGCCTATAAGTAATTTATTATTTTGACAACTATATTAGTAAATTATGGGGCCATGCAGGTGTGTTGAAACAATCCATTGTCCCCTTTAATCAATTCAATGGGACGTCAGAAGTTTATTAACATTGACCAATGTTACATGTTATTTGGACAAGAGAACTCCAAGTTGATAAAATCAAAAGCTCTTGAATGAACTTATAAAGAGAAAGAAAATGAAGGATGAAACATACAAAAGTCACTATCCATGTATCCCATTGCTAATGGCTCGCCAATTTATATAAGTAACTAGACCTTAGTTAGGTTGAAAGTACAGACCCTAGTCCGCCGTAATTCATAATAGAGGGTCTGATCTAGTTAGCAATAGAAGACTATACTCAACAGGCCCTGTACCATATCTACTGTAGTAGTCTAGTTCTGGACCCTTTTAATGATTTTTGTATTCGCCGACTATAAGCGTTAAGCCGAGTGATGGCGCAATCCGTAGTGACGGCGCGATCCCGAGAACTAGTACTGTAGCTGCCCTGTCCCAGACATTATTAGAGGTGTAGATCTATAATAAATTTGCTAAAGGTATATACATGCTAGAGCACAAATGAAACATTTGCAAGCCTATGCTTTACTGTATGCAAATACATACTGGGGTCCGGAGCTTAGGTGTGAATTTTTTTTTACTGGGTTCGTCTACACCCAATACACGATATGGTCATTGCAATAAGATAAGATAAGATGCGATAAAATATCTATTCGTCTTTCTTTAAAATGTCACTTAGAGCATAACATTAGATCATTACACATTTACATTTACAATGCAAACAAGTTGTGGCAATGATAAACTAAGAAATGAACTATAAAATAAGAAAGACGAGGAGACCCTGTTAAAAGCAGACCTTGGAAGTTTTGGGGTCCTCTCTTGACCAAACAATTGGTTGGTACATGAATAAGCAACAAGATAAACCTGATGGGATGAATTATTTATGACTACCTAAGAATACATTAAGAAATAGGTGGTATATAAGAAGCAAGGAGTGTACCAAAAATGGGAGACTAGACTATACACGACGGGAGAAAAGAGAGATAATAATAAAAGACTACAGCACATCGGGAGGGAATAAAAGGCAGAAAAATCTGAAAATATTCAGTTGGACAATAATATCAAGAAGAAGATATTTTATATTTATAGTAATACATACAAAGTTAAAAATATTGAATATTTGTTATTTAAATAAATTACAACTATAGCATCGTTTTCTTGTTCTAAACAATTATTACCCAATCATTTTCATGACTATTTGTAATAAAATAGCAACATCAAAAAGTATAAAACAAAAATTTCAATGAAATGTATGTACTTTTTTATAATTTTAATTTTTCAAGAACCACGGTAAGTTTAAAAGGCCCTGGCACAGTTACGAAATGGCTTGCCACATGTACTAAAAGCATTATTAACTTTTCTTGCATTCGGGAAAACATATCAATCTTATCTTCTTAATAGTTAGTAGTTTTATTTCATCTAATTTCGTTTTATGTGATTTATGTAATTAGTTATGTTGTGGTTATGCTAAGTTATACTATTTTTTTTGTTTGATTGTTTTTTTCATAATTTGTTTAATGTATTTCTCTTGAAGTGTGGTAATATAGGGGATCAGCCTTGACAGGACAATGGCCTTGTTGATCTCTCGCATCCACCACCCTTCATCCTTCTTTCATAGTACCATGGCAATTAATGTTTTTATATTTATATTGTTTTTATACTGATTTGTTTGTATATCTTCTGATATGTTTTTAAAGAGATGTGAAATATATTTGAATTGAATTGAATTGAATAATAGATCTAGGCACCAAACTTCAACAATTAACTGCTTTATGTGTCACAGTATGTATCGAGAAGATAAACCTTTAAGCCCCACTGTCCTACTTGAAGCTACTTGCTCCCTCTATATAGAAAACATCCCCAATCGGTGCCTGTTGGTCCCCATGATCCTCTTTTTCTTATGTTAAATGAGAGCTGAGTTAATGAGAAAGCCACCTGTCACAGTGACCTCACTGGCTCGCTGGGTGGTCTAATCCCTTCTAGCTGAAGTAGCAAAGCCTGCCTTTAAGTGTACACTTAAATGCAGAGAGGCTTACACAGAATACCGGGTCTGTATTTACAGACTAAGCCTTTGTTGCACTATAGTGAAGCGATATGATGAATCCGGAATACAAAGTGCAATTGATAATGCATTCCATAATCTCGAAACCGACCGATAACCTTGCAATGTGAGGCGACGTGGAAATCATTGAAAGGTTTCACTTCCGGTATTAGAGTGCAATTCCTTCCTGTAAGGTGTCACCTGTGAAACCAGTTGGACGAGAACACTGAGATGGCGTATTTGAAGGAGGACCATAGGGGACGCTTTGCCCCCCTCACCCGACAGATTTCCGTCCAAGAATAAGAAATATGGCAACTGTGATATAACCTCATGAATAGTGGAATCATTGTACGTCATGACACCCTTGAAATATTGTTACGAATTTCTGAATATTCGAAGTAAACAATATAGAAATCTTGCCGCGCTTACAACGAGGCGATCTGAGCAGTCTCTAGCTGCTCTGGAGTTCTGCAAATAAAACAGTACGATAACCTTTCCCTTTTGTTAATGCAATTTGTTATTGGATTGAGCAGTCGACGTGTGAGAAAAAGTTGATAACTAGTACGTAATATCATTTTGTTATGAAAATATTGTCATATTTAATATTTTTGGATAACACTACCCCAAAGGGGCTGCGATTTATTTTCATGACCGGGGGGGGGGGGGGGTTGGGGTGAAATGCGAAGTACGAGGGAGCATAGCGAACGAGAGGGGTGAAGGTAACGGAAGTGACTACCCCCTTACATGATTTTGTATTAAAACATTACATTCCTTAGCAAAACAAACAATAGTATGCAAACAAGCAATATAGCTTTTTCACACTTCACTTTTACTTTGCGGTAAAATAGTGTGCAGTCCGAGGGGTTGTATATTTTGAGGGATATTATACGAGGGGGCGTTACTTACGTAGCGACCGAGCGAGAAGATTGTTTGTATTTGTATTAGTCTAAACGCTGCACTCTTGGGCCCTCCATGCAGAACCTAAAAGTGTGTTGCAGTCTTTAGTTAGTATTTACTGTACCTTAAATGTTTATTTGCACTTTTTTTCAAATTTGGCAGGGGGGGGGGGGGGGAGAGGGGGAAGGGGGGAGGGGGACGATCCACCCTAAAATGATGGAGGGGGAACGTATCCCACCCCATCCGCCACCCCGGGATCGCCTCCCTGTCTCTAACCTAAACCAAGGCCAAAATATAGAGAATTTCTCACTAAAAGTAGATCAGATTTAGTTTGCATGCGCACACACTTGTCGGTGGTAATGCCTATCCGAAGGTCTTAGCTGAGAAGACAGAGATCGCGGTCAATAGTCCCTGTACTGTAGCTACATCGGGCACAACCATGTGTTTGTGTAATTGAGTTTTTACAGACGTGTATCAATCAGATATGAATATTACGTCTGGAGTCCGACCTTTAACGTCACCATCCGAAAGAAGTCACTCAGTTTCGAACCTGCG